GGAGAGCCAACAAAATAACAATTGTCTGGTATTGCTGAGCAACAAGATGACATGCTCAATGATAGAAATTTAAGGACATAATTTTCTTCCTAAATCAGTGTTTACATGGCAGTAGTTAACATTTTAATAGATATTTGAAATGCAACTTAATAAATGAGCTCCCTTAGACATGCCTGTAATTGCATTTGCTCACTAAAATGTGTTTAAAGATTCTGAGGAGGATACAAGCTAGGATTTTGTGAAGGATGTGGGCTTTAATTTCAAAAGAATGTACACCACCATTTCAAAATGTGGCAGGAATTACATTTAGCCCTCAGAAAAATCCTGTGAAGATCGTATTCTTCTACAGTCAAGGAATCAAATGCAAGAAGTAATTTGTCCAAGAATTATACAGCCATTGTGGAGTGGGACTGGCTTTGAACCTGGGGAGCCTAGCTCCCCTTTACTGCTGTATCAAGTCCTAAAACATCAAGGGAGATACATGAGTGAAGGATACTCGCAGGGCTGATACTGTACATGCAAGGGTGCATTTTACAGCAGCAGAATGAAAAAATAATTTTTTCTGATGTATTTGGTTGTTGCAGGGTCTTACTATGCAACTCAGGCTCATAGTGATCCTTCTGCTTTCAGCCTCCACAGTGCTGAGATTACAGGGGTGCACCACTACACCCAGCCTCTGGCCTGTTCAGCATGCCCTAGGGTCAGGGTTGGCATGGCATGGAATGCCGAGATCGAACCACGCAGTCCCTGTACTTGCCTAAGCAGACACTTTAGTCCACTGAGCTATCTCGCCAGTCCTGAAAACATTTTTTTTACACAATTGAATAAGTTTGTAATGTGTTCAAACCAAGCTCAGTCCTGGATCTTGGGAAGTGATCCATAATCTTTTGGATCACTTCCAAGATCTTTTTTGATATAGCTGAGCAGCACAGTGCCTGCCTGGCAAGCTCAAGTTTTTGAGTTCGAGTCCCAGTACCACCTCCCAAACCATATGAATGTGTTAAGATTCATTAAAACATGCATATTTTTAGTCCCAATCCAGTGTTGAAGGAATTAAAGATATAATTAAAATCTATATGCATTACAATAGTCCCTATTTTATTCAGTATATCTGGTATAGCAAATCTTAGAAACAATAATGCCTACTAAAGTGACAAATACAAATTCAAATGAGTAATATTCAACCACTAGAAAAAATAGGAAAGACTAATATGTAAAATGCAAAATTTAAAATTGTAGTTATACCATGATTTCCAGATTCTATGGATCTAATTAAAAATTAGAAGATACGCACAAGATTAGCAAAGAATGTACTTTTCTTTAGAAATCCTATATGTCTTTCTTGTAGGAAGAGCCAGCCATCAAGAATTAATCTGCTCAATCTATGACTAAATTACACTGGGTTTCAGCATAGGAGATGGTGACCATATAGTGAAGTCTGTATGTATTGTGGTTGCATTGATCAACTTTGTTGTGTTTGGGGTTTGTAAGATCTTGATTGTCTAAAAGTGGAAAGTGAAATGGCAAGGAATTTCCGAGTAGACATAACCCTTCAAAAACACCCTCACTAAAAAAAAAAAAAAAAAAAAAAAAAAAAAAAAAAACACCCTCACTGTTTTTGGTATCATCGTTTCACAGTTTAGTAACAGGAAATATCGAGAGAAGCCTATGTGAAAACCCATTAGAGTGGTAAGACTGTTAAACCACAGGAATTAGAATATTCTTAAAAGGCATTTGATACAGGCAGAATTTAGAAGAGAAAGCAAACTGACTTTACAGGGATAGCATTTTTACAACCAAACTGTCATCAACATCACACACTAGAATATTTTTACTCAAGTAGCTGTATTTCAGAGGATGTTGCTTTACATGACAGTGTGGATAGTGAAAAAATGTTTAACTCCTGGCTTTCTTACCAGCAAACTGTTTGGGCTTAGCTAGGCATTTCCATAGATGTAAGTCTCAATAACTGGTTCATCAAAACAGGAATTGAATCCATTTACCTATAAAAGCCTTGAATTTAGCTTTCTTTATAGATGATAATACTCCTTTATAGAAATAACACGAGATCATACTCATAAGAGAATTAAATCACACCCCATGTGTAAACATTGTGTTGTGTCCCTAGTGTAAGAACCTGAAAGAGTGAA